GAACTGTAGGAAGCAGTTCTATTCTATTCCATAAAGCCTCAAGTACATGAATGAAGGAATGCTTGGGGGATGGAGGCTAATACTTTGATAGGAGAGTCAAGGACTCTGAAGAAAACAACCCCAATGGTAGCCAAGATTTCAGGGCAGTGCTGGCACTAAGGAAGCCATTGGACCCTGTTCCCGTCAGTCCATACAGCCGTGGATTATCCAGCCAGGATAAACAAAATGAGAGAAAAATGTAACTTGGGAAATCCAAGTAAAATTGGTGGGGGAGGGGGAGCAGGGACATCAAAGGAACAGAGAGAGTATGATTACTTAAAAGTCTGCAGGAGGGTCTTCATCCTACTCTGATGATCAGTGACGGGGTCTTAAAAGGTTACAAGCAGCCAGCTGAGACTTGGAGGAAGGAAGAGTGAAGAAAACCAAGGAAATAATTAGGCCAAAGGGACTAATGGACACAGGAGCCATAGCTTCTTCTAGCCTGATATTAGAACTAGATAGTACACAGCACTATCAACCACTCTGATCCAGACCAAAATAGGAAATACATCACAATTCGAATCATAGAAAAGATCAGACTTACTGTTCTGAGAGAAACTGGTGAAACCCCCAAAAGTAAGGCCCTTGGTTACCCTGCAAACCTGAAAATGAACCTTGGGGTTCACCTTTCAGCTGAACAACAGACAGGCCTACAAAGTGACCGCCACCACCCGTGAGGAACGTGCTCCTCAGAACAATCAACCGAAAAGGCAAGCATCTGCCTAAAAGCTGAGCTCAGAAAGCAGGAAGAGTCAGGGGAGGAGGAGGAGGAACGGACATGGGAAGCCAGGGAAAAAGCAGAAAGAGAGCTGAGGGGTTTGCAACAAATGTCACGAAACTAAATGTATATACGTTGAAATCTTGTTACAAAAAAAAAAAAAAGAAATCTTGTGTTACCCTTATAGCTAATAGCTTAAGTTAATTTTAAGATTGTTAATTGTTTGATGTGTGTTTGAAGTGAATAAACCGAACATTTGAAAATGTCAAAAAAAATGTATACACACTGCTCAATGGAAAGTTAATTTTTACCCGATCACAAACCAAGAACCATATACATAAAGAAAGCCTTGATGCTCCCCTTCCACCCATCCAGAGTCTGGAAGATTCTTCTTTTGGAAAAGTGAACTACCCCAGAAAAAAGGTGTGTGTATACTTGCATTTGGAAGTTCCCAAGCAAAACAATGAGCACATTACAACTGCCCTGACTTCTAGACAACAAGCCCTGTCCACACACACCGGGTCTTCTGCTAGCTTTTCCTGGTTCACTCTTAGATGTGACTCTGAAAAAGGAAGCCATATCTGAAGACAAAAGCAACACTGGAATGTGAACAATCTCTACCAAAATGAACAGTTACCCCAGAAGACAAACAAAAACTAAAGAAAGTTCCAATGTTACACACATCCAGATTCCAATTCCAGTTCCATCCAAGTGAAAAAGTTCAACCACAGATAAGAGATAGAGAAGACAACTTAGGGTGGTTCGCAAGTTGACCTGCCTGCGACAGAGAAGTGTGGGAGCGATCCCATACTCCTAAAACCTCTGAATTCCTGCTTCGAGGTTAACATCCAGTGACTAGAGCAGTAGGATATGTATTTGCAGCTATAGCAAAGTAATCAATCTGAAAGAAAACCTTTAAAAGGTCTTAATAGCTTGTAAGAGTGGAGTAATGAAATAAACTACTCCAAGACAA